CATGGATGGAATGTGCTTTCCGCACTAAAAGCAGTGATTGGGGAAGCGATTCCGAGACCAGAGCATTGACCTGGTTCGATAAAGCATCATGGAATATCCACCGTCCAGCTGATGTGTTGGCAAAGCTTGAATAGCCAAAGGTGACGAACACCAAACATGGCATGTTGTAGCATTGATCATAAGTAACAAAGCTACACACCGCATTCATGATCAGAACAAACTCATAGCAAATCACAACAATACTGGTGACTGTTGATTAATGTAACCCCCCCCATTTAGATGGTAAAGTAAAGCCATGTAAAACCTCTTCATATAGTTGTTCTCCTTTTCAATCAACAGTCAACATTATCACACACACACACAATGCCTCAGCACTTCAGAGGATTTGTTTTCCATCTCTGAGGCACTACGAGGCGGCAGCGGATATGGTCTCTGAGGAGCGATAGGTCCCGGTCCATTGATTGAAGAGGGCGTTTGTTTCTGTTTTCTAGTGCTCCAATGGTTCTGGTGGGCTTTATTTCATGGTCATTGTTCCACTTGTGAGAATCACATTACGCTGGTTAAGCCTGTTCGCGCGCGTTATATAACTGTTTTGCAAAGGGGTACGCGCTCGCACCTCCGCAGGGTAAGTACTTTTTTACATCTTTTTACCGTTTTTGCCGCGCCTTTGGTACAGCAATTTGGCTAACAGACCTACAAAACGGAGAAACAGGGATAATTTTTGATGTTTGCCGTTGTTTTTAATCGTGTCGTGCCTCTGGTAAATAGTTTGGTCAACGGACCGGGAAAAGCGGTAAGCAACTTTTTCTTTTTACCAAAAATGGTCACAGCTCCAGTGAACCTCGCCTTTTGAAAACTACGAAAAGGAACCCCTCAACAGGGGTGCCATACACAAGAAAATGCATGTATGCCTTCTTGTTGGTGCTTCGGGCTAATGAGGGCCCTTGAGCTGACGGTAGGCTCAACACATGCTGTGCGCTTGAAAAGGCGCGATCCAGGTCATTTTTGTGGGAAGGTAGCTGTGGCCTTTCCTGTTGATTTTGTGTAGTAATATATATAATTAGGCGCAAGTAGGCGAGCACATATTTCCCTAGATGCACCCCGAAACCAGCTCGTTGGGCAGATTGTTCTTGCTTTAGGGTATGAAAAACCACAATTGTTGATGGTTTGCGAGTATGTTGAAGAGATCATACAGTATATATATATATATATGAGAAAATGGGATATGTGCGCCTGAGCTCTGGCATGGGGGGCCGCTGTGTAGAGCTCTGAGCAGCAGGCAGCACGACACTTTTTGAGATGCAGCGTTCCATTGGAAGATGCATGAACATGTTCAAAACTCAGTGTTCCATGGTGTTCTTTCGTCCGGGTAGGTCGCACATTGGCGAATGCCTGGATGCAAGGTGCAGTTCTGCCAAAGCTCTTTTCTAGGCGCAACGAGGCCGTTGTCCTCCCATCCCCATCGTCCGGGGAGGTCGGGCACCGGGTCCATCTCAGGAGAACGGACTCTTGGAATCTCCCCGGCAGCTCTTCTCGCTCGAGCTGCCCGGATCCCTGGATCCATGCGAGTTCGGCGGAGACTCTTGCGGTTTGTGGGGTTGTGGTACTGGTGCTGGGAAGATTGGCGTTCTTTGACCAGTGGGGGAGGTGCGGGGCTAGTGAGCACTCATCAGTTCAAGCGACTGTGGCAACTTTGATCATGGGCTTTGTTCCACACGTTTTCATCCAAAAGAAACACTGAGCTACTTTTGGAAGTGTAGCTGTTTGAGCCGTTTGAGCTTTGGTTTTGGGTCTGGGTATATATCGTCGCCGTCGTACTATTTGTTTCCTGACCACTGGAAGGTGCAATTTCCACTTGAACGGCGCGACTGTACCATCTACTCAAAAGTTTCTGGGGGCTACGTTGCGTGTGCCAAAAATCAAGTCCTTATGCGGAACCGTGGGAAGCGTGTGAGGACCTTCTCCTCGAGTGAGCACTACTTGCCCATTGAGCCCATCCGAATTCCGTGCCTCGTCATTTGCAAGGCTACTGAGTGCTGTGGGATAGTCGCATGCAGACAACATACTGTGAAGGGTCGGGAAAATGCAGTTTGATATGAGAAATAGAAGATTGTCAAAGTATGTCAAAGTTGTATACAGAGGGTACTCCCAACAGAGTGTAGCTGCTCCGGTGTTCATCATTTTTCTCTTGCACATTAAATAACTACTTTTTTGAGTCCAGCGCCGGCACATCTTCCTGGGCAGATTTTAAGAAGCACACCTAAGATCCTCTGAGTCTTTGGAGTCCTTGGTCCGTCACTTGAAAATGGCTTCGGGATGAGGTTCTACCAGAATCTCAGCTCTAAGGTTCATCGCTGCGAGTCAGATGGACGGGCGCCGGCGGTCGCCCGTGCTCAGTTGCCCATTCTTACCATGTCTCCAACGACTGAGCCACATTTCAGATCATCACAGATCCTATTTGCCTGCAATAAGAGCACATCCCGTCTTTGATCCAACGAACACTTTGAACCTGTCTTTGCTTTGCTGGGTTTCAATGAGTCTTTGCTCTGCCTTGCAGGAGGAAGAGGAAGAATCTGGCTTTCCATGCTTGCCAGCTCAGCACGTCTTGGGGCTCTCCCGAGCGGGAGATGCCGTCTGGCCGTCGTGGGCCAGACGGCCCGCAGCTACTAAGATTTTGGAGTCTGTCCGTCTTCGTACACTGGACCAGTGGTTCAATGTTCGAGATTGTTGGAACAAGGTGTTGAAACATTTGCCTCTTCCAAACTTCTGCAAGATGCTACGGAAGTCCTCCTGTTGGTAGCAGCGTTTGTGAAAGATTCTTCCACCGAGGGTGGGAAGCTGGAATCAGCTGGAATGTGTTCATGAAATTTCATGAGCTGTGACAACATTGAGCCCAACATTCTCATGCCTCGTGCAAGTTCTTGTGAAGTTCCATACCAGTGCACACCCTTAGCCAGGAACAAGCTGTTGCTCCGACTCCGGCCCTTGAGCCCAGTCCCAACCTCATTTGGTGCCGGGGGTCTCAGCTTTTGTTCGTGTTTGAACTTTGAAGAATGCTAATCGCAACTCCTTCAAACTGCAAGATACTGAACGCCTTGAGCGTCTTGTTGATGTACTTTTGCAGGCATTTACAACCCCACGGTCACATGATGGGACATTAGTTTAAAACATTTACATACCGCTGGTTGCCAGGGTATGTTTTGTCCACCCCGCTTGTGGCCTTGTGAGGTGCGAGGACATCCGAGGAAACTGGCTCACCCCAACAGATGTTCATCGAGGTGTTGGCCACCAAAGAGTTCTTCATGCCAAGTGGTGGTCACCAAAAGCAAGGATCGTTTGGCGACGACCACCGCCCGCACCGGCAAAGGACGGTCTCGATCATCACTCGGCTTTTTGGACCCTGGGAAACACGTTTAGTTATGTCTTTCTTTACAATTTGCAAGCATTGTTGGATGTATGATATACCACCCATTGACGTTGTACATGTTGCAGGGGTTCCAAATTATATCCGACAATGCCTGCAAATGAATATATCTTGGACCTCTGAAACATGTAGAATTTCAACGACACATAGAGTGAATATATACAGTAAGTGTGCATGACCGACACAATACTTAGAGATGAATGCAGCATGAATTGGATGAACAAAAAATAACGTCGCTATTATCACTCTATTTCTGGACCCTCTTGCAATTGTTATGTCTTTCTTACAACTTTTTGCAAGCACTGTTGGATATAATTTTTGACCCCCTTGAACTTGCACATTTTCAGGGTGTCCAAATTGGATGCATGTTGTCCAATAAAATAACACACTTGCAACCAGCTCATGCATATGATACAATCAGTGAAACATACATTAAGACATAGACTGTTGAGAGGACTCCTCTCCCAGACACACCTTGTGATGCAGGATATGCATTTTCGTTCCCAACCGAAAATGACAATTACCCCCTAGCTAAAGCTATGTATCGGTGAACGCGACCCAAAACCTTCGGTGCGGGCGGATTTTTCAGAGACAAGACCACAGGTTTGCATCCCTCCAAAGGCTGGTGAAAGGTTAAAACTGTGTGTGTGTGCTTTACGTGCTGAACAAGTGACATCGCTTTGCAACTGCTGTTGCATGCTGTAGTCGTGGGGCGTTCCCATTGCTCCAGGTAGTTTGCTTTGATGATGGTTGCGCCAAGGTGAACATTGCCTTCAACGACAGCTTCAGCCAAATGTACTTAGGCAGGAAATTTAGATGTTGGAGAACCTCCGGGGTTGGTTGGAACGCACCCCACCCAAGCTCTAGGCCCTCTTGAAGACTCGGGTCTGAGACCAACGAATCACCATTTCGGTTGTGGTTGGTGCCCTTCCCGGTTCCCCGTGACGCTTCTTCCAACGGTGCGTTCTTCGCCCGGGGCGGTCGGACCGCCGGCGGTTTGCAGGACAGCTGGAAGCCTTTGAAGTGGCCTTTCAGGAGCAAACTGGCCTTGCGAAGTGCTGTGAAGTGGTCTAGTGAGGGAACACCCTGATACTGGGAGGTGAAGTTTCCGTGTTAATTCTACCTCGCAGTTGGTGGCCTAACCCAATGTGTTCGTGTTGGCCAGAGCTCACTGCATGGACCCTTTGTAATTGGAATGAGCTCTATGTTCGAATCACCAGATTGGCAATCAGAGATCGGCTGGCTCAAGGGTCTATTAGTATAGATGCTTCAGAGGCCAATGTGCAAGCTGGCTGTCAAGCCGTTGGCGTTATCAGCAAATCAGCTGTCAGCAAATGCCGTAATTTGCACGGGCTTGCTTTGCACCCTATGCCAACTGGTTTGCGCAACCCTGAAGGAAACTCCGAATTTGGTTTGCCAGGCGGATGGCGAATCAGAAAAACATAGGAGATTTGTGAATTGCTTTTTGCTTGATCTTCCCATCGAATAAGCCCTCGCAGAGGAAGGGTCCATTTCCAAAGTTGGTGGACATAAAATTTTCAGAGATGCCATTTGCCTGAGTGGACTGGACTGCACCATGGCAGCTCCCGACGTGCTGGGCTCCACTGGCAGGGAGCTGATGCGCTCACGCTTGGTGAACGCCTGCGAGGCGGCAGAAATGGCGAAGATCACGGAGAACTCACCCGCCTGCATTCAGAGCCCTTGGGATGAATAGGTCTAACAACCCTGGTGAACAGTCAACATCAGGTCTTGATGTTGATTGAAGTAAAACAGCATATGTCTCTACTGGATCCTGCGATCCAAGTCCGAATGCTAACCATGTGTGCTCGATTGAAGGATGTCCTTTGCAGATGTTCAGTCCATGACTGAAGCCAAAAGCGAAAGAATTGGGGAGGTTTTGGACTCGAATCATTCATCTTGGTCTTACACAAACCAAGTCAAGCTCAAAAAACACGGTGATATTGGCTATGTGGGAGGACAAGCCAGCTACCAGCCGCTTGACCAGCTACACATACTCACTCAGGCGATGATTGGAGAGTGAAGCTGGGTGCGGCTGGTGCTCTGAGCTCTTTGGTCCAAGTGGGTCGCCGAGGGACGTGGATGGCTGGGTGAACATGACACGCAGCAGCTAGGTCCACGGGCGAGTGGGAGCCTGCTGGCCAGGGTGCTGGAGAGGTGATCTGTGCTTGTCCCCAAACAGGTTTACCTGTATGGGGGTTCTTACTCCTTTCAAAGGGTTGCATGCCTGGGCCGGATGATTTTGGCTCTTTTTTTTGCGGGTTGCGTTCCTCGGTGATGTTTTCTCTGCATACTCTGGCTACACTTGGCCGGATGTTTTTACACTTGTCTCCTCGTGTCTCCCTGCTTGTCTCCTTGCTTGGATACTCTTGGCTGGATTGCTCTGGATGCACTTGCCCGATGACCTTACACTTGTCTCCCGCTTGTCTCCCTACTTGTGTCTCCCTTCTTGTTACACTTGTCTCCACTCTTTGTTTGTCTCCGTCTCCCTGCCTAGACTCTCTTGGCAGCATGCTGTTATCCCTGCTTGTCTCCTTTATGGTTACACGTCTCCACGTGTCTCCCACTTGTCTCGGCCTATTCTGTTATTTTCTTGTGCCTCTTAAGAGCGCACATGTCCAACGTGTGTGTGTGTGTATACATACACCCCCCAAAAAGAGAACACGTACCTTTTAGATCCTTTTAGACAAGTTCATGTTTGGAGATGAGGGTGCGTGTTTTCCAGTGTTCTCGAAAATGCTTGTTTTAGGACTTTGCATGTTGAATGTGTTCAGACGTTGAGGACGAGACCTCGTAGTTGTTGGTAGGTGCTCGTTGTCTGCTCGTGAGTAGTAGTCTTCCTAGTTCTTTTTTCTGCCGACCCCCCCCGAGGTACTACCCTGCCGAGGTGCTACCTGTGAGTCATCAAGCTCCCACAGGTCACATGAAGCTCCCACAGCTCACCCGCACAGGTCAAAGGGTGAATTGTATTAGCATATATAAGCATCACATTTGTCACTCCCATTACCATTGCCATTAGCATAACCATTGCTACAGGTCACAGAGTGTGTGGCCTCAACCTCCCACAGGTCACAGGGTGATTGGCCTCAAGCACCGGGTGAATGGCATTATCATCACCATTGCGTTTGCATTGCCATCACCATTTGCACTACCATTGCCGCAGGAATTGGCATTGCCATTGTGATCCCTATTGCCACAGGTCGACGGTGAATGGCATCAAGGTCCCACATAGCATTGCCACAGGTCAAGGGCGAATGGCCATTAGCAGTACTATTTGCATTGCCATGAGCATTCCATTGCTATGAGCATCAGCATTAGCATTGTCATTAGCATTCCCAGCACCATTACCGTTTCCATTAGCATGGTGAATGGCATCAAGCTCCCACAGCTCACAGCATCCCATCACCATTGCCATTAGCATCACCACATGTCAAGGTTCCATCATTAGCATCCATTAGCAGCACCATTACAATTTGCAATTCGGTTTGGATTCCCAGTACCACAACTCAAGGGTAAATGGAATCAAGCTGCCACAGGTCACAATGCACATATAGGTGCATAGCTCCCACAGGTCAAAGGGTGAATCGCGTTCCATAACCATTGTCATGAACATAACCATTGCCATTAGCATTGCCACACGTCACAAGGTGAATAGCCATAACCATTACCATTAGGATTGCCACCGCTATTGGCATCAGCATTAGCATTGCCATTAACATTGCCAGTGCCATAAGCATTAAAAATAGATTGGTGGCCATCAGGTTCATATTGCTAGCATTCAGGTTTTCAAACTTTCTGGAAAAACTGCCCCGCTACCACATGCAATACTTGCTGCCCTGGCAAAGGTTCAGTCTTCGAGTCAGCATTTTCATTGTTTGAAAGAACCCACACTGCTCCCAGTGAAGGAGTTGAATCACTTTTTGAGCCACAGGCCACAGGGAAAATGGCATTATGGTGAGTGGCATCAAGGTCCCACATAGCATTGCCACAGCTCAAGGGTGAATGGCCATTAGCAGTGCTATTTGCATTGCCATGAGCATTACCATTGCTATGCTGTTCAATTTGTGTTCTGAAATCTCACCAAATCATTCGCTTCTCACGGGAACAGTAATGCGCAGAGGAAGAGCCACCTGCGAAGATCCTCTCCTGCCATTGCAGACGACTGGTTCATACCTCATACTTGGACACTGTCACGCAAACCACAGCAAGACAAAGAACATCAGAACTGTCAACTGATACAATCTTAAATCATCTTGGCCGGAGACGGCTTTCCCAAGCATGCCCCAGCTGTTAATAAAACGTGAAAGACGTGAACGACTAACTTATTCCAAAAATGACCAGGTTCTTCTCGATCTCAGGGACACTGGATTGTCGGCCCTCGTCCTTTCGAAAACACCGAGGTTTACAGGGGGCGCCGGCGCTTTGGGGATGCAAAGAGATCCGCCGAGCTTTGGGCGATGAAAGCAGCCGGCCATTGGTCTTGGAGACGTTCGCCAGGCCAGTTGAAGATTTTGGGGGTATCACTTCCAGGGTGCTGGGGCGTTAAGTGACCCAAATTCGTGGGGCTGTATGTTCCAATTCATGCAGGAGGGACACCCTGCAAATAGCCATGGTCGCGGCAGTGGTCTGACAAACTTGTAAATTAATATTTGAACATCCATTGATTGGTTGGAGGTTATACCCTCGCATCAACCTTCACAGGCAGCCATTTTCACCTGTTTATCTACAATGGGCAGGGACCTCACATCGAATTTTGTTTCATCCAGGTCGCAACCATCTGCAGCGATCAGCAACTTTGAGCGAACTGCGCAACTTTTGAGGAGTGAGGACTGGAGGCGGGGTACGCTGGACGACGGGTCATGACTGCAGTACTTTTTCCCCCTCTATGGGGTTTGTGATTCGCTCCCTAAATTGAACAGACTGATGAACATGATGAACATGATAAACATACAGAGATAACGAGTGGCTTGATGCCTTTCCAACGACAACGAGCCGTGTGGCTGGAGGCTTCGCTTGGGTGCTATCGAGTCCCTGGCGCGTCATCCAATGCCAACGGAGCCTTGCCAAGCGTGCGGCTTAGGTGCTTGACATCCTAGACTGACTTGAACAGCTTGACAAGGTTTTAATTGTGGCAAGACGCCCCAACAAGTTATGGACTTTTGTTGAAAAACAGAAACGCTACAGCATGGTATAGCAGTATAGCCCACCCATCAATTTTTTTGGGAAACAGGGAGGGTGTTGCTTTGAACGTCCCAAGGACTTCGCCTCGGCGCTGGCACTCTGCTGCGTGGCGCGGCGGCCGGAGCTGCGCCGCGCGGCCGCCGGCGTGTTGCGCCGCGTGGAGCCGGAGCTGCGGGCGCAGGTGCTGAGCCAAGCGTTGGAGGTCGGGGATGGATTGGCTTGGCGATGGATGGGGATGGATGGGGTTGGGGCCTCAGTGCGTTCCTTTGATGAATTTGATGGGGGCGGCTTTCATATTCTTTTTCTAAGAGTGGCTCCAGGAAGTTAATGTCGGTGTGCAGTGCTTGTAGTGGATCATAGTGGAATCATAGTTCAACAACGTTCACAAGGTGTCTTGGCGCCGATCATTTCGTCATGGTAAATGCACGCCTGAGAGGCAGTAATAATATGTAACAGTGGTGATGTTAGGGTGCCGGGTGCCGAGCTGAATGCGCCTGATGCACCGAAAAGTGCGTCCGGCGGACGCCTTTCTGGGAGGATCCAGTGCGTCCTGCGACGCCAGGAGCCTGACACTCAAGAGGATCTCATGGCTTTCCGTGATGGTGAACTCCTGCAACTTGGTCTCCATGATATCTCATGTCGCCTGCAACGCGCTTTTTTTGCCGACGCGGCTTTTCGACGCGGCGGGTGTCAGGACATGTGTCAGGACACGTGTGTAACAACACTTTTCTGTGGAACATTGAGTAGTCAATAGCCTCTGCCATACTAAGTTTTGATTGCGGAGTATTTTTCCAAGGCTTGGGACTGGGAACATAGAGGTTGTCCTGTGATTCTGGGTGTGTCTCAAACTTAGGTAGAGCTTCCCAACTGCAGTTTGCTTAATCAACTTATCCAATCTTACCCACAGTACTGTAGATCGAGGTCTCCCTACTTCACAACACATCCTAGTAAATGCCGGTTGCTTTGATTGCAGAAGGGCCTGTGCGTTCCGACAATTCTCTGGTTTCTCCAGCAGATGATTCAGCTCGCACTTGGAGTTGACTTGGTGATTGAGCCATGCAAGATCATAAAGCAAGTAGGAGGCCCCAACAAGACCAGGGCACCAATTCAGACCTGGGTCTAGGGCCCTTCCCAACTCTCCAGAGAAGGCCTGTTGGAGGGTCCTGGTAAGGAATTTTGTTACATTGATGGTAGCAGCTTTCCACTATGGCACACCTTTTTTTTGTGAGCAAATCTTTTTTCAGATATGTATCTCCGCTGAAATCCAATGGCGACCAGACTCTCAGTGCAGCAGGTCAATGGTGAAGTATGCTTTTTTGATGTCACGCCCGAGATGACGGGCGGAGAGCTAAAGCATCAGATCAAGCTACTGCGGTGAAGGTGGTTGTTGGAAACCGGCTGCTGGGCGATGAGGAGAAGGTGGCAGACGCAGGGATCGCTGCAGATGCTGCCGTGAGTGTTGTCTTCAAAACAAATGCCGTGAGATGTTCTGACCAAAATGGGATCATCAGTTTGCTCGGTGAGATTGACACCGAACTTTTGCTAGTGGTTGAAATCCCAGGCTATGAACATCAAATTTCAGCTAGGGCCTTTGAAGGATGCAAGCAGTTGGCCACAGTGACCATCGCAGACTCAGTGACCCGAATAGGGACTCGCGCGTTTCAAGATTGCGCCTCCTTGGCCCACTTGACCATCCCAAACTCAGTGACCCACATTGGGGATTGGGCGTTTGCAAACTGCAGATCTTTGGCGAACCTGGACCATCACAGCCTCAGTGATCGATATTGGGAATAACGCCTTTCAAAATTGCAGCTCTTTGGTGAGCTTGTCCATCCCGGACTCAGTGACACAGATCGGGAATTGTGCCTTTCGTTATTGCAGCTCTTTGGTGAACTTGACCATCCAGGATTCCGTGACCCACATCGGGAATTGTGCCTTCGGGGATTGCAGCTCTTTGGTCAACTTGACCATTCCCGTCAATGTGACGCACATTGGGATTGGTGCCTTTGAAGGTTGCAAATCCTTGACAAACTTAACCATCCCAAACTCAATTACCCACATTGGGAAGTGGGTCTTTGCGGGCTGCACATCCTTGGCGAGCTTGACCATCCCGGACACAGTGACGCACATTGAGGACCACGCCTTCGAGGGTTGCAGCTCTTTGGCAAACTTCACAATGCCAGACTCAGTTACCCATATTGGCAAAGATGCCTTTGCAGATTGCAGTTTTTTGGCGGAAGGCACGCCCAAATCTCAAGAGCATGCCTCTCAAAGTTGCAACATCCTCTAAGATTGTTCATTGTGCAAGCACAGGCTCTGAAATGGCTGTCTCTGCATGACTGAAAAAGCGGCTTCTTGAGCAACTGGCGCTCACAGTTCTTGTTCTGTTTTGGAGGATGGCGCCTTTGGGAACTTATGGCGCTCGTGCACCAAAGGGTTCATCGCAGAGTGTTGAGAACTACCGCTACATTTGGTTGAGTTGTGTTCTTAACTCTTCGTTCCGGAACTGAAGGGTTCTTTTTATAGCTCCGCCGCGGGCACCGCCGTGAACTCGCACGTGGGGGGACTTCCGGGGCCCCAAGGGTTTGGTCATTTAGAGCAAACGTCCATGAGGTTCCTAGAGGCTTTGGAGGGTGACGCGGAGAAGGCGCTGCAGCAGCGACCCAGCTCCCAATACTTCCAAGAGCTTGCACTTCGGCAAAAGCAAGGGGAACTCTGTGGGAAACAAGCATTCGGTCAACAACGCTGTGAAGGTGGGCCTTGAGCCACCACACCAGTGAATCTACTTTGTGATGCCGTGTGACCGTGTGACGCCAATGGTTTAGCCTTTTGGAAGGGAAGGGCAACAACCTATCGAATGAGGTATTGTCTACTCAATAGCGAACAGAAGCTTTGGTTTTGGATTCCTTGTCAAATAGACCTTCTTTTCATGAAATCCATTTGGCGTGTTTAACATTGTTCAAGTGGGTACACCGTATCGTTAGGGTTCACATGGTGTCCGATGGAGCTGCTTCAGGGCAGCTTCAGTCTGGCATAGAATTGCTTGCGCAAAGCGCATCTGAGCCTGATTCGGAATGTGTTGGGCTTTTGACTTCATTTCTTCTCCGAAGAACGCTCGTTGGACATCGGTGTGTGTGTGTGTGTGTGTCCCACCCTGGACAAAGGGTTTTTCCACCACCTTCACTCCACAAGCAGGGGGCAGGAGTGCCATTGCAAGTCTCCTGCCAACGAAGACGCTTGCAATTGGCAGTGAAACCAGACCTGATCAGTCTGGCGTACCTGCTTTCAACACAATGACTCCACTGGTCCACCCTGCTGCTGTTTCGTTGGTTCCATGGTTTTTCTCATGATAGACCCCCAAACCTTTCCCCACCGCAGATGTGCAGCCGCGCTGATCGCTCGCTTTGCGCCGTTTCGTCACCACAGTCAAGGGAAACAACTTTTGTTCAAACACCTACAAGTTTCTCGGACTTTTCGCCATGCTGTTTCCACCGCCATCCTTCCCAACGTGGTAACTGAGTTCACTGAATACAAGTGTCAGAGTGTGTCCTGCTCAGCCGTCCCACTCGGGTGCTGAGTGTGATCCCCTTCACAGGGGCGCTGTTTTTGCATGGGAAAGCAACCACCCCAACGCTCCACCGATCACTGGAACATCACAGGAAAGCATCGACCCCACATTGAATCAACTGCCACATCGGCCGCCGGGCCAAAAAACGTTTTTTTGACAAATCTCTCAGACTCAGAACTTCTGATTTCCGATTTCATATGCATGTTTATGTTTTCGTTACGCTGCTGCCGCGACTCTCTCATCAACAGCACTCAAGGAAGGGCATTGCAACTCTTCAGCTTAATTCGAGATGCATGAACACACACTTACCAACAAGCTAACGCTTAGCACCACCTTACAACTTTCTCACCACCGCCACCAGCGCTGACACCTTTAACAACAACAGGACAACACCACTCGGCATTTCTTCGCTGCCTTTTGCTGCCGCGCCGCGCCGAGCCATAGCTACGACCACGACATGCATTTTCCGTGGCCCTATGCTCACACCACGCCACCACCACTACCTACCGCCCAACCTCAACCCACATGGCCGCTGCCGCAGCCATCAACTGCACCCACCTTTCCCACGACTCAACCATCGGCATACCCTCACCCACAACCATTTCAACCACAACCGGTTTTATCCTCCCCTACTGCTACCGCACTGTCCTACGGCACACCATCCACTTGGACTTTTGTCCCCCCATCTCACGTGCCACTGCAACCCACACATCCAGCTCCAGTGTTTCCGACAGCAGCACCTCCCCCATCCTACCTGGTACCACCGCATCATCCCACAACACCAGCCGAACCTCCTCCTCCCCCCACTACACTGACACATCCTTCTCTAACACAACAACAGACTGCGATTGCCAATTATCCATCCACTGATCCCCAATGTGCCATCCCCCAGGGCGTTTGGCAACCCTATTCAGCCTTTCCCCCCGTCACACAACATCCACTCCAACCGGGACCCCCACCACCACCTCCACAAATCACCACTGCCTCAACGCCAACCCAACCTCCATTTCAACAGCAGCTACCATCGGATCCAGCACCACCGATCCAACCCATCCCCACGACTGCCCAGGACAATCCACTCCCAGTCCAAAACACACCAGCCACCGTATCACAACATTCAGCATCCCCCTCGCTGGTCCCTGCCACACCAGCACCGGGACCTTCAATCCCAGCATCAGACAAACCTGACACCACTGCCTCACCAGCACCACAACCACCTTCCCCACAACCACCACACAGCAGTCGCCGCCACCATCACAAGAGCCGACGCAAGTCCGACCATCACCACAGAGGACGCCACCGCCACCGCCGCCGACATCGCCATCACCGCCATTCCAAGCACCACAGCAAAACCAGGCGACGGCGGTCGCCTTCAACATCCACTTACACATCCAGCCTTACGCCATCCCGCAGCCGCTCGCCACCACAACCCATTGATCTACGCCCCAACACTGAACACTCCAACCCAGACCCCTCTCAATTTCCCACCACAGCCGTCCTCCGTCGCCCAACCAACCGTTGGCGACCTCCACCCAACTTTCACACCTTTACACCTGCAGACCAAATCCTGGAATGGCTCGAATTCCACGCCGCCCAACTCGACAATCCCAACAGACCACAACACCAGTACATTGCCAATATCCTCACAGACTGCAACATCTCCTACAAGGAGATCAACGATTTCCGCCAATACACCCACGCAAAGTGGAACGACACAACGCACCAATACGACCAATTCCAGTACTTTGCCATTTCACTTCCCTTCCTCAACACCAAAGCCACCACACCCGAGCCACCTGCGGTTTCCCGTGCCACATCAACCCACCGAGAAGTTGCCCACATCAACGCAGGCCACACAGGCCCCGTCGGCAACATCTCCAACATTCTACGCCAAGGCCGTTTTCTACCCAGCACACTCCACTTTGCCAACTACCCTGGATTTTTTGCCCAGGGCGTTCGCATCACCCACAACCAACCCCATGACCACAACGAATTTGCCCGCATCATCCACAACACCTGGCAACTCCACAAGAACTCCCATTCCCTTATCATCACACTCCTTGCTTGGGGTGCCGCCACAAAGTACACCTCTGGAGGTGAGGAACACGCCATGAACCTCCTTAACGACCACCATGGTGCGGTCTTTCATCAGAAGGGCCGCTGCTGGGTGATCCACCCCGACCACGCCATCGTCAAAGGACTGGCCTGGTCTACCAACTCCACTCCACCGGACCCATAACACCACTGCCACACATCCATACAACACTACCACCTCCACATCCACTTTCAGTCTCACACCACCACCCAACCTTTGCTGTAGCAGCCAAAAAAAAAAGAGCCTCTTGCAGCAACCACGGGCTTTTTGAACCCTTCATTCTTCTTGCTCCGCAGTTTTTGCTGAGAATCTTTTGAACTGTTTCGGCTGTTTTGCAGGATTATTTCACATGTCAGTTTCTGCATCGTGGAGAGTGAATTTTAAGCCTTGTACTCGATTGTCCAATCTGCATTGTGTATTCATCCTTTTGCCTGTCGGAATTTGATGCTCGCTTAATTCATATGCATGGCCTCGGAATGATGTGCTTCTTCAGACTCGCCGCTTTCCAGCTGCTTTGGCGCGCTGCCGCAGCAACCTGTGACGATTCTTGACTACTGCACACCCCTACATCTCAGCCACATGAGCAGCAAGCTGACACCTTTACAAAACGACACCACAACTCTCCTACACAAAACCGCAGTGGCACTTTCCCAGGTGCATAACCTGCTCCGACAAGCAACAGATATTGTAGCACACCTCCACACGGTTTTCCTCCATCACAGCCATCAAGCAGACCCCACTTTCCGCCAACACTTTCAGCCACTTCCAACTCCACCCAACCACCCCATACGTTTACCATCCACCACCTCATCCTGCGACTCAGCACCATCCAGACCACCTATCCGCTCACCAGCACCACCCTTACAGGATTCAGACGACACTCCAACAACACCCCCTGATCCACAACCCACCACAACACGCAAGCGAAAGCAACCACCCCTACCACCACCGAACCAAAACGCAGATTGGGACGCTTGGGACGGCGACGCTGATTGTCGCCTGATCGAACTTAAAGAAAACCCAAAACTTCGTCCCAACTGGGCTACTGTGGCCCGCCGAGTCGGTTTCTCCGTTGCGCAATGCCAAGCCCGATGGCAAGAACTCAAAGGCATGCAACGACAGCAAGACCAGCAACCTTTCTCCACACTACCACCACCTGCACCACCACGGCAAGCACCTTCCCCCTCACCAACACCTACATCACCAGCAGTTTCCCCAGCACCACACTCACAACCGGACTTCTCCCCCTCCCCCACCACAACACCACCGACTTCACAATACCCAACGACTCCAGCTGCTGCGCCGCTGCCGCCGGCTGCTGAGCGACCGCTTAGTGAGGACAGTCATCCGGAGAAATCTCCACTCTCGCCAGTTGGCAGCTATTTCATTTGATCCGTTTCACCCACTTTCCGTACGGCGTGCCGCACGACAAATCTGCTGACATGCACTGAATTCTATTCACACCCAATTTATGTTCACCCAGTTGCCCACCTTTGATTTTACAGTTTTCAGGCTCACCTCAGCTCCGCAGCCTTTTGTACGCCATCACAATCCATCACTTGTCATGGCCAATCCTCGTGCTCGCCCCTATGGCAACACCGCCAACACAGAACACTACTTGCCACAGCGCCCTCCGAGCTGGCTCCAACCTTCAATTTGCACTCAGCCTGACTTTCAATCTCTCAACAGCTCCTTTGACCTTCTCGTTATGGTCAACCAACACCTCCGACACCACCCACTCCACACTGAACCTATGCCAAGCCAGACGTACTTCCAGGACCAGAGAGCATACAACCTCCTTTACCGAATGCGCGGTGACCTGATTTTGCTGGACCGCCTGATTGATAACCTTTCCCAGGCTCGCCGGCTCCTCCAATTTGTCACCACCGGCCCAGGCCTCCCCGGGCAATATCGCATCAACCCCACAGCCTCACTCTCCAGCAGCAACCTTGCCATTCTACACGACATACCGCCAGGTTTTCCACTACCACCCGGGCTTTCCAGCCGGTCACCCACTTCTTCACCACATACCCCACCACAAGACGCAGCCCGCCTGCACTCATCCTGGACAGGCCCTCCACCACAAACTACCCCAGCAACT